GTCGCCATCATCTTTTCCTGGTTGGCCAGGATCTTCTTCAGTGTCTCCTCAATGGAAGGAGGGATCTCAACTGTGGTAGGAGCGGACTGTGCCTGGACTACAGTGGCCAAGTTTGACAACTTGGATGTCACAGATGACATCCAGTTGTTCAAACTGGCTAGAGACTGAGCAAGCTGGTGGGCAGTGAACCGGTGAGTCTTCGATAAAGGGACATCCGGGTCCGCTGAAGTAGATAGACCGGCAATAGTAGAAGGACCCGGAGGCAATGTCTCACCGGTAGCAGGGAAGGTGGAAGGCTCAGTGGACTGCTCAATAACCGCTGGCTCCTCAGACTGGCCAGGTGCGGTGGAGGTGGATGCTTGAGGTTTTTTGGACCTCTTCGGGTTGTCGGGACCAGACTGACTGTACCATGAGTAGGGGGCTACCGGATCTACCTTGACATCATACTTCTTCTTCTTCACTTCCAATTCTCTAAAGTACAGGGAAAGAGTGTTTGGGAAGGGGTAGTTGGTGTTGGTCTCCTGGCCGACCGTAGAAATCACCCTAGACATGATGTTGCCCACATTAAGAGGAAACCCAGCCATAATAGATGCCACCAAAACTGCACGGGCAATAGGAACTGTGTGATCATGGGTAGTGGGGTCAAGCCTGCTACATACGAAAGTCAACCAACCCTTGGCTTCAAAGTTGAATGTGTTTCTCAGAATCTTCTCCCCTGCTTGTAACCAAACTGGGACTGTGCCCGGGGCTGCCAAGTGCTGTGCCAACCAAGGACGAACCTCTTCTTTCATTGCCAGCTTTTCTAAGTATTGGGTTTCATCCTCTTCATTGAACCCTAAAAACTCATTCAGGGACTTCCCATCAAACATCACTACTTTGTCCCTCACTTGAGTCTCTTTTGAGTCCCTCACTATATGATGAACATTACAGTAAAACTCTTTCACCATATGTTCATTTGCGACTATGCAACGCTCCTTGAAGAAACCCCAACCCTCTCTATTACGGAATTGTGCTTGCACATGAGGGTTGACAGGAACAAGATCAGAATCAATAAACTGTCTCTTCGGAATCAATTTCCTTTTGGGCCACCACTCCCGAAATCTGTGGAAAGCTATTTTACTCACAAATCTATCAGCCCATGCTTTCGGCTTCCTTGTTCTGTCAACACCTCCAACTTGGGGCTCACCCCCCTCACCGTATCCTCCACTCTCCCCGGATAGTGAAGCTGTGGGGGAGGTGGAGTATTCTTCAGCACTCTTAGCTACGGACTTATCAGACGAGTCCGAGACTACATTTACCGGCCTTTTTGAGGTGGGCGAAGCTGATGGGGAGTCATGCAATTGAAGTGGGAGAGACATGCGAGTTGGAGCGGACTCTGAAGTGATGCTCCTTGAGGGTGCGTACTCACTCTTCGAAGAGTGGGAAGCAGCTCTATCAGCCTCCCGTATTGTCTTACGGGTCTTTTTCATATTCTCCCGAGCCTGGGGAGTGAGTCTGACAACCCGCTTCCCTTTTCCCCCGCGGGAGGAACCACCCCTCACGGGTTGTTGTTGTTATTTTCTGCCTCTTTTCTTAACCATTATCTGCAGAGAAAAGTCTAACATTGTTAGTTGAAGCACATACAGTGAATTGGATGAAACAGTAATGCACAGTGCATAGTCAAGGCTTGCAAAATAGAAGGGGCGTGGACTGCGCAAAAGTGTCACGCGGCCGCGCTGGGATGGCGCAGACCGCGTAAAACAGGAGCGCGTACCACGCTGAACATGTTCCAGTGAATCCCTCTCTGAATCTTACCAACGCGGTCCGCACTGTTTTGGACCGCGGCCGCGTTGGATGTGCGCGGACCGCACAAAAATGAACGCGGAATGCGCTTAGAAATGACTTGAAACACAACTCTCTGAACCTTGCAAGCGCGGTCCGCACTGATTTGGACCGCGGTCGCGCTGGGCTGGAGCGGACCGCGCAAAAATGCTACGCGGACCGCGCAGAAGATACTCAGCACAAACAAGAGGAAGCACGGACCACGCGGAAAGGGCGCGCGGCCGCGTAGGGCAGATATTTAACTGGGTATGGGGATTTTCATTTAAGTCCAATTTTTAGATCAAATTATGGGTCCTAATTGTCCCTACTCAGTTATTAATCAAGAATTCATGCCCATTGTTTCTCCTAAACACACAAAATCTACCCTAACAGTTAAAACTAGGAAAGAAAGAAGAAAATAAGAAGTTATACTAATAGGAAACAAATAAAAATGATCAAAAATTACTATGAATGAGATTAGTGAAGAATGTTACCAGGGATTGAGAAAGTTTTAACTACTTGAAGCAAGTTCTTTTGATGCACAGCGAAAATTTAGAGCTCAAGTAGAAAATTGGCGGAAAGGTTAAAATGAAGCCTAGGGTCCCTATTTATAGAAAACACTGTGGGACCCCTTTACTTACCCACCAGCGGGGCCGCGGAGAAATGGCCGCGGACCGCGCTGGATTTCCAGCAACCTTAATTGCCTGAACAGCCCACGCGGACCGCGCTGTTGTGTCACGCGGCCGCGTGGGAAACTTCATAGAGCATGTTATGTAGGCTTTTCCTGCGCGGACCGCACAAAAATGGACGCGGACCGCGCAACTAACTTCAGAGACTCAGTGTCCATTTCACCAGCCTGCGCGGACCGCACTGTTTTGGTGCGCGGCCGCGCAGGCAAACTTCAGAGACCTTAATTTTTTATTTTTTTTACTTTTGTCCTGCACTGGTCCAACATCACCCCTGCAACATCTCACAAACCATGAGTTCAAAAATCCTAATCTACAACAGAAAATAAAAAGAAAGAAAAAAAACATGGGTTGCCTCCCAAGAAGCGCCTGATTTAACGTCGCGGCACGACGCATTTTACCATCATATCACTTCAAATCAGGAATCGCCATCATGTGGCTCTCATCAAACTCTCCAAGAAAAAGTAGGACGCACGCCCACCAAGGTGACCTAGAATTTTGCCTATAAATGGTAGTGGATAGTGATGCTGACGGGGCACTTTGTTCAAAATTCCATCCTTCTGGCGACCTTGCCACC